CGCCGATCCGCCCGCCCTTTGTCCCCCGCGGCCGCCGCCCGAGCCGCCGCCGCCGAAGCCGCTTTCTCTGTCTAGCTCTCTTCCTCCGCCCCCCGACCACACCCCCTTAAAGGGCCAGCCCCGCTCTGGGCTCCTCACCCCCACCCCGCCCCCGGGCAAGGGCTACCTACGGGAGGTTCTCTTCGGCAGGGATATTGGCTAGGCTGTCCGCATCTCCCCTAATTTAACCTTTCAGCCCCAAACCCAGGCATTCTAGGCGCCCGGTACCAGGGTTTGCGCTCCTGGAAAGACCCTAGTTCTCACTGGACCCTACCTCATTCTGCCCTCATTGAGGCAGGAACGGGGGCCATGTGGGAGTGGAAGGGAGTGGGCACTGCGTGCGGGGCGGGGATCCGGTGAGGACACGTGGTGGGACCCGATGTCGGGGTCCTCCGGCTGTTGGCCAGCAAGGGGCTAGCGGGCTTCTTTCGCGCGGACCAGCACGTGGACCGAGCTCCCGGGGATGGAGGAGTGAGAAAGCAGGGCAGGAGCTGCCCGGGTCCCCAGACGCCCTACTCGGCGGGGTCCCACGCCCCCCCACGGAAGAAGCCACGGTGAGGATTGAGCAGAGCCGGCCGTCCGGTCAGAAAGGCCAGACCCGAGGCAGCCACCGCCCACCGGCCAAGATGGCGGCGGGGAAAGCACTGTGGGAAATGTAGTTCGCTGGGCCTGCCCCGCGTGGCCGGCCCTCCCCCGCGGCGAGCCCGGGCGGGGCAGCGCAAACTTGTTTGGGGCGCCCTCCTAGGGCCGGCCTCTACTGGGCGCCCCTCGACGTGTGTGTGCAAAGGAAGAAATTCAGACGCAAAGCGTTGGGAAGTGGGGGAGCCGGGACTGATGACAATAAAGGTAATAATAACAGCGTTTACCGGGACCCCCACCCAGTCGGTTCCACCATGAGGGCACCGCAGTTTTCTCCCGCAGATCCTCTCCCTGTGGCTCCTCTGTTCTTCACATCTCACTGGCCCACCTCTCACGAGCAGACCGTGCATCCCATTCCCTCACCCTGTTTGATATTCTGCATCTTAAAATTGTCTCATTCATTCGTTATCTGTCTCCCACTTCTAGATTGCGAACTGCATGAAGCTGAGCTTGTGTGGACGTTGTGCGGACGTTGTTCGGACCTTGGTCGCTGATGCCCAGGCTCGAGTCTGCTTGCACGTCTTCAAACCCATGTGTATTAGGCAAATTACCCAGTTCCTGCTGAACCCCAGCACCTAGAACTGTGTCAGAGAGCGAAAGAATGAATGGCTTCCTCTGTGCATCCATTTCCTCAGAAGGTTGTGGTGAAGGTTACTTAGGAATATGCATGGCAAGTTCAATTACTACACCGCAGAGATCAATGAAGACACATGGCTAGATAAAGGGGTAGCTGAGATATTGAATCCAGGCTGTGTGAATCAAACCCCCTGACGAAGAATCTCCACTCATTCCCCTGCCTCCCCTTGGATACCACCCAACAGGGTTGTGCAGCTCCCCCAGTGATGTTTCCATGGGTGGCAGTCTCACTCTCCGTCGTCCCAAACAGAGTCTCAGGGTCTGAGAGGCAGTATTTCCATCCAGTCCGTCACAGACACCCTCTCTCTGGATGCTGGAGGGAGAAGCCTTCTGCAGCCGGTGGAGTTCAGAGAGGGGTTGGGATTGGCCCAGGGTCACACATGGTGCTGCATCCAAAGACAGGACTCTAGGCTCCTCGTTGACCCGACAGTTGGGGGAGAAGAGGCAAAGAGAAGACAGAGGCTGGGAATTGGGGGAGGGGAAGCAGTCTCACAGGGCCCAGCCCCTCCTCTGGCCTTGGCCTCCTTCAGCCAGCCTGGGGGGCCAGAAAAGGGCTGACCCTTGCTCATGCTGATCAGGCAGGACCCAACCTCTCCACTGGGAGCTCCATCCTGGCCTTACCTCCTGCTCTAATACGGGTCTGATGGGAGGATCACTTTACCCAAGTCCACATTCCCCACTATACCCCACCTCACGGCCTTACCTCCTGCTCTAATACGGGTCTGATGGGAGGATCACTTTACCCAAGTCCACATTCCCCACTATGCCCCACCTCATCCCACCAGGGCAGGTCAGCTCTTTCTGAACGCGAGCATTGATTTTGGTGTTGGGGGTGCTCACGGATCAGAGGGGGACATTTGAATGGCCCCTAATGCCCAACAGCTGCTGTGGGAGTGGGGCTCGTAGGCCGTGAAGATCTCCAGCCCTACCTCTGCCCCCAAGATGCTGTGACCCTGAACACCGACCTTTCTGTTCCTCCTCCCCTCAGCGTTGATGTGAAGGTTTCTGCTTATGCCCAAAGTCAGGGCACCCCTCAGGATTCCTGGGGCAGGGCACAGAGGAGAGGGCATGATCTTCCTCACTCTCCCTCTTTCTACCTCCTGTGCCACCCCCAGAGCACACCCAGATTCCTGAGGCTGACTCCCCTGTCAGTCCTGTCCCTTACCACCCTAAGAATAGTTGGTGCAGATGGGCATCTGGCCTGCAGCTTTCTTGGAGGCTGGGCTGCCCTGCACAGAACCTTAGCCATGGAGTGGAAGAACTGGGTTTGAATCCTGACTCTGCCCAGTAGGCTGAGAGGTTATGGGCAAGTCACTTACCTCCCTGAGCCTCTTCCAGGAGGCTGATTATCCTGACCTCCCTGTGGTTGGGGGCCAAGAGCTCAGTGTTCTGGGGTCTACACCTAGCCCTTGCTCTCCTGCCTGAGCCTTTCCAGGACTGGAGTGTTACCCTGCTTCTCATCCTTCCAGCCTCAGGCTGTGGCCTCCCCAGCTCCACCCCTCCTGGGGTCCTGCTCCCCCCCCCACCAGAATGCCTCCCTGAACCAGAGGCCCTGGGAAGGTCCCGTGGGACAAGCTGCTCCCTTAATCAAGGGTAAAGGCCGGAAAGGCTGCCTTCCTTCCACCATTACTGCTTGCCGAGAAACCCCATTACCATTACCAAGGCTGGAAGAAAGTGTCCGAGGAGGAAGGAGCCCTCTAATGGGGGCTGCTCTGGCCTCGGGAGACACGGGGTGGGGGGAGAAGAGGCTCAGGCTCAGGAAACAGGCTCCCATCCTGTCTTCCAAGAAGCCTGCTGCCCAATGCTTCTATGGAGTACTACACAAGGCCTAAGGCCTGCGGCTCAGACCCCCTAAGCTCAAGCCCTGGCTCCAGGCTCTGCTAGCCCTGGCACTGGCTGGCAGGGTCCCCTGCCCCAGAGCTGACCCATGCCCTGTTCTTCCTCCCTGGTACCCCAACAGCCTTCCATCCACTCAGATGTCAAGCTGCCGGGGGGGGGGGGGGGCATCACCTACCTATTTGCTTATTTCATCCTCAACAACCTCTAGCTTCTGGACAAGATGACTAAGGCACAGAGACTAGGTTCTGTCACTAGCAAGAGGCCACTAGCAAGAGCCATACTTGAACCTAGGCCTGTGGAAACAGAGGCCAATCTTTACCCTGCACTGCTCTGTTCTTCCAACGAGGTCTGGTGGTCCCTGGATCTCTGAGGGATATGGCTCTGCAGTCCTGGTGAGAGAGGATAAGGATCACAGTCCTGTCCCCCTTTCTTTGTCTCCTCAAGGACAGGGAGTGGAGGCAGGAAGTCCAGGGTTGAAATCTTCCTACTAAGCTGTGTGACCTTGGGCAAGTCCCTTCCCCTCTCTGGGCCTCAAGTGGAGATGATAATCACACCCCACAGGGCGGTGGCTAGAGGCAAGGCGATTCACTAGGTTAGGGTTGGTGGCCAACACGGTAGGGATTTGGAGGAAGGTCAGTGCCAGGCAGGGCTCCCTTGGGGGTCTGAGAGCCTGGGGCAAAGGGTCCTGCAGGGCAGCTCCTCCTTAGCTGACCCCTCCTCCCCAAGAACCAGCTCCATCTCTTTCTGGGTTTCTAGGTGACTTGGCTGGCCCCTCTGGATGAGTTCTACTTTAAACCTACTGCTGCTACTGCCTCGGTATTGGGGGGGCTCCCACAGGGGCCCCCAGGCAGGAGCCCCCCCAGCCAAGCCCTGCGGGAGGGGCTATAGCCCCCACGCATCCCAGTGCCCATGCGCCTTCCCCTCCCCCGATCCCTGGAACACAGATTTCAGGGCACATGCTGTGGGCCAGGCACTGCAGAACCCCTCCTCAATTCCCTCCTCTGGGGACACCCAGGAGGCTTCTGACCTCTCTGGGCAAACACCAGGCTTCCCTTCCCGGTTTTCAGCCAAAAAGACCGACAGAGACGGGCTGGGGTCAGGGGGGTCTGCAGCACAAGAAGGCGACTGTTCCAGGGCCTGCTCCGGAGAGCCAGGATGCCTTGGGCCCTTAAAGGAGGTGGCAGGCGCCCAGTCTCCCGGGGCTAGAGACGGGGGAGGGGCGCCTGCCGGCGGGAGGCCCATTAGTCGGCTAAGTGCTCCCAGGGAGGGGGGACTGCGCTGCAGCAGGAGGGGGTGAAGCGAAGTGAGAGCAGGGGGTGGGATGGGAGTGGCTTTTCCTGCACTCAGCTAAGCGCGGCTGGAGCGGGGCAGGGGACAGGACTCTGCTCCCCCCGGCCCAGGTCCTGCCCTCCACTAGTACCCTGGCCTCCCCTCTGGGAAACCTCAACGGGCTGACCCCGGCCCTTCTTAAGCAGTGGCCTCTACATCCGATCCCTCCAGCCGTACCCCCAATTAGCCCCCCTAAGCCCCAAGCGCCCTACACCCACCTCGGGCCCGAAGAATTAAGTCCTGCTGAGTCCCCCAGCAACGCCTCCCACTCGTCCAGGTACGCCCTTGTCCCAGTGTCCCTCTGGCTGCACTGGCTACCCCGGCCGCCAGGGGGAGCCAACGCAGAGGCGGGCCCGACTTGGTGGGAGGGGGCGGGGCCGCCTCGGCCCC